GCGATCAACTACGCAAATGCCATTGAGCTAACCAAAAATTTTAACTTAGTATATTTTCAGGAATAAGAAGACAACGGAAACTACCACAGGCCATACGACGTTCCGAAGCAGATAGCAGAGGGCATTGCACCTAAGGGGACCAGCACTTGGGAATTCAGTCTCTCTCATGCCACCCCACCCCAAATGTATTATAACAAATGCCTTTCACTTTTATTTCAGACCAAGGGACCTCAACCCACCAGGAGTGGAACCCATCTCTCTCATTCTTCTTACCTAACTGTCACATCTCCTGGCACATTCGAGCAAATTACCTCTCTCGTTTACAACCTACCTTACCTCCACTATTTCTCCACACTCCGTGGGGGGGGGGGGGATAAAAACGGGCTGACCACCACAACAGATTGTGATGGCCCTGGTTGTCATGAAAAGGAGAATTGTTAGAGACGTTGTGACCCGGTGTTTGTTTGGCTTTTCCCGGCGGCTTTGCAGAACGGCAACCAAGCAGCAACAGGGCACCAGCACAGCGATCAGCATTGAGACGGTTAAAAAGAAGCAGCTGTATACGCCAAGCAAAAAGAATATGTAGACAAACTCCTGACCTTCCAGAAATTGGTTGTCCACTTAAAACTATTCCGGAACAAATCCCATGGAGAGAAAAATGCAAACTAACAGTGCACATCCAGACAAATGTGAAAGGGATATTTGACAAGAAAGAGCAAGATAGTGTACAACGCAGAATGGCCACCCTCAGTTATATTGATGAAGAATACCCACAAGAACAATGGGTCAGAGTCTATACAGATGGGTCCGCAGAAAGTGCAGTTAGAAATGGAGTGTACATCGAATTCCCAGATGGTACTAGGGATAAGTCCAGCGTACCAACCGGAAAGTACTGCCATAACTATGAGCTATCAAGACAGCAACAAAGAAACTGATAAATACCAATCTTGGCTCACAGTATGTGGTAATGCTGACAGATGTTAAATCAGTACTTGAAGCACTCCAGTCTAGGAAACTACCAGAATTGCAAACACTGCTGACACAACTCAGCCTTCAGCGAAGAGTCCTAATGCAGTGGATACCGTCTGATTGTGGAGTGCCTGGAAATGAGAAAGCTGATCAACTGGCAGTTGAAGGTGCGACAAAAGAGCAGCCGGATGTACCAGTCACATACCACCAAAAGAAAAGAATAATTAAATCGATTAAGAAACCACCAGCCCCAGCACAAGACGACTATTTTATTATGGACAGACCAGAACAAGTCATTATACTCCGCCTCAGAACAGGACACAACCGATTACGTAACCATATGTACACAAAATTCAAGATAGGTGTATCAGCCATGTGCACCTGTGGAAATGTGCCCCAGACATCAGAGCATGTACTCCAGGACTGCACCGATTTTGACACATTAAGGCAAACCTTTTGGCCAGAAAGAACAACAGTGGAATGTAAACTCTATGGACCACTGAATCAACTAACAACGACAGTGAAATTTATACAAGAGAAAAAATTCTGTTATAGACAACTTATTTCAGGCGAACGAAAGAAGAAGTAGAAGATTGTACGGTTTTAGGTTTAAATCTTATTGTAATGTGTTTACGGCTTCAGTTATTATTGAAGCGCACGCAACTGCTTCAGTTATAATTACAGCACACGTACAGCTTCAGTTATAAATAAATTGCACCTAACAGCTTCAGTTGTAAATAAAATGCATAGAATGGCTTTGGTTATAATTAATGTGCACGTAATGACTTCAGTTATAATGAAAGCGCAATGAACTGCTTCAGTTATAATTAAAGCTCATGTAACGGTTTCAGTTATAATAAAAGCGCACGTTACGGCCTTAGTTATAATTGAAGCGCACGTAACAGCTTCAGTTATAATTAAAGCACACGTAATGGCTTCAGTTATAAATAAAGCGCATGTAACGGCTTCAGTTATTTATAACTGAAGCGCACGCAACTGCTGCAGTTATTATAAAAGCGCACGTTACGGCCATAGTTATAATTAAAGCGCACGTAACGGCTTCAGTTATAATTAAAGCACACGTAATGGCTTCAGTTAAAAATAAAGCGCATATAACTGCTTCATTTATAATTACAGCACATGTACGGCTTCGGTTATAAATAAAGCGCATGTAACTTCTTCAGTTATAATTACAGCACATGTACGGCTTCAGTAATCACTCTCAAAGAATTTTGGAAAAATCGCTTCCACATCATTGCCTGCCTCAAGATGATCGACAAGGCGGGGGAAGGAGTTACCAAGAGAACCCTAACTTTTGCTCAGAAGAAGCTTTGGCTGGAGAGCTTTGTTCTTTGTGACTTTGAGGTGTCGAGACAGTAGCTGAGGAAACTGTAGTCAACGAGATTGTGTCTTTGGCCACTATCATGGGATTGTAGGTGGATAACAGTGATATCGAAGAGCTTGTGAAAGAGCACAGCTAAGAACTGACCACCCAAGAGCTTATGGAGTTGCATTGTTTCACAGCAAGAAGTTTTGGAGAAAAGTTTGTCAGAGGAAGAGGAGGTAACAGAAAAGCAACAATCTTCTGGCGAAAAAAGAGAAATGCTGAAAGCATGGCAAATTGTTGCATCTTACATTATTAAGCCTCACCCTAATAAGGAAGAGCGCTATGCGCATTGCAAATTCAATTAATGATAATGCTGTGTAGCATTGTCGCCAAATTTTGAATCGTCAGCAAAAAACAAATGTCTCTGGACATCTTTCTAGTTAAAAAAAAATTATTATCTGTGTATCATAATTATTTTGACTTTTTTCTGCAAATTGAATTCACATTCCAGGTGGGTTCGTTCCGCATTTGAAGAACAGATGAAGATGATTCACTCTCCTTAACAATATGCATATAATTTTCTTTGAATAAACGTTATACATAGCATTTTGTGATTACTTTTTTCATGGAACGCATTATCGTATTTTACATTATTTTATATGAGAAAACTTGTTTCACATAACGAGTGTTTCGCTTAACGATTATGATTCTAGAACGAATTGTGCACGTTAAGCCAGGTTCCACTGTAATCTCATTCCTCTTCTTCTTCTTGTTCTGCTTTTTCTTTTTCCTTCTCCTTTTTTGTCACTCTTCCTCCTTTGAGTTTCTCTTGGGGAGGGGATGTAGCTCCCACCATCTGGACACCGTATGTTTCCTAAAAAATAGTTTATGAGTGCGGATGTCACAGAAAGACCATGCAGGTGACACAAAAATACAATCTCCTTCTTATTTTTCTCATTCATCCTATCTCTCTCCATCTATGTGAGTTTCTCTTGGGAATAGGAAGTAGCTCCCACAGTCTGCAGACCTTATGTTTCCTAAATATATTTATGAGTGCAAATGTCAAAGAAAATTCATGCATACTACACAGAAATACAATCTCTACACAGAAATACAATCTCATTCTTCCTCTTTGTTCTCCTTTATTGTCACTCTTCGTCTGTTTGAGTTTCTATTCAAGAAGGGATGATGCACACCTTATGCTTCCTTAATAAGTTTATGAGTGCAGATGTCAAAGAAAGATCAGTCTACACAGAAATACAATCTTATTTTTTTTCTTCTTCTTCTCCCTTTTCTTCTCATTCGTCCCCCTTTATTATCTCTCTCCATCTGTGTGAGTTTCTCTTGGGGAGTGATGTAGCTCCCACAGTCTGCACACCTTATGTTTCCTAAATAAGTTTATGAGTGCGGGTGTCAAAGAATAATGACACAGTCTACACAGAAATAGGAACAGTTTAATTGTTTATGTTAAAACAAATGCGTGATAACCAAGGACTCAAATGAATATATCCCTGAAGAGGCAGCATTTTGTTCATATTAACTGAGGGTTTTTGTTAAGTGAGTTTGTGTCAATGTTGTTTTACTGTACTGAAACCGTTAAAATTCACTAAATTTAATGGCTGGCGAATCATGGAAACTTTCCCAGATCTGTGTTGAATCTCTGTGTCCAAGTATTTTATAAAATTGTGTGTGATACAAAAAGGATTCAGGATTCTTTGGTCTTTCTCTTATCTAAGTCTATGCTAGCCTTCACACACGGTGGTAGTATTCATTGCAGTATTTTTTTTTTTAAACTTTTCTTGTCATGATCAGAAATCCCGACAACTTCCATAAGATTGTATATTGTTTGGGCAGTCTCAACTTGTGCTTTTGCAGAGCTAATGCTACTCAAGACAGATTCCTACAACATAATGCAAAATATTGTCAAGCTCACTGAAACCCTGCAATTATTACTACAGCTGAACATTGCAGCTATTAGCCCTAGTGTAAGCAACAATGTGCACTGTTTTCTTCTGGCAGCCGACAGTCCATTACATTTCTTCAGTAAGGCTGTGCCCCTCAAAGATGTGCATCAGTTACTGTCTTCATTCCTTCTCTAGCAACTAATGTTTCAGCAACAATGACCATTCTCAGCAGCTCTGCTGTGGGTAACAGAGTAAAACTTAGTGGCCTCGTAGTTTCAGAAAACAAGCGTGTACACTGTTCATGGTAGTGGGTGCAGACAGTGAGAATCCATTATGAACAGTATTGAACAGCTTTGGTGAGGATCCTGTCTTAGATTAGAATGTCTGACAGATAAAGCTGATATGTCAAATTGCATGATGTACCGTTTAATAAATTACCAGAAGTGTAATATTCAATTGTCATTAACACATTAAAAAAAAAAAGAAATTAAAAGCTTTAACCACAAATTATTTACAGCAAGGCATAATGAGTAAAATCATTTAATAACTGCAATAACATGTGATCTGCACAAATCTTGCAGCTCTAGGACGTTACGGTTTATTGACACTAGAAGTGTCAGAAGTGCCCTGTTACAAAGGTGCAGTTTCATTATCACCCTGGATGAACACGCCTGGTAACTGTCTGAGGACACTGCCATGTAAAAAGCCTGCCTCGTAGATATGCCAGGCATTATGGAAGCCCACATTCATGGAATACTGTTGCTGCTTGTCTCACCACTGCTTGCCATTCAGTATTGATGTTACTCAGCATCTGAGGATGACATATTTAAACTGCATTAACTTTAATCAAATGAACAATTATAAAACAAACAACAGCAGAGGCAACAAGATCAATATAAAATGAAAATAAAATGGTAAAATAATAAGGTTTCTGTTTATGTGTGAGTGTGCACACATGCATACCCACAAACAATAAAATGAACATATTTAAGCAAATGTTACACAATCATTTTATAAAATAGATCAAAATTTGAAATTAGATGTAGACTTTGAAGATTTTGGAGCAGGTTAATAAAAAAAACAGGTGAAAGTGAGTGAAAACTGGTAAATACCCAGATACCTGGGCAAATGTCAAAACAAACCCCTGGTCTGAGCTGAAACTAGGCACACTAACTCCTCACATTTGTCATTTGAAGTATGTAATGGATGTTATACTGTGAAGCACAATGCAACATAGCTTACTATCAGGATCTGTTGGTCCAACGATTTGCCAGAATAAAAGACAAGTCAAAGGTCAGGATCTTGATGTTAAAGGAAAAAACATCCACAGAAATATACTGAGAGATGGACCCAGAGTTTCATCATTCATGCCCTTGTATGATTTAGTTAAAAACAAACCTGGTGTAGATAGTTTCAGTATGGTTACTCAAATATTACTGATCTGCCAAAATCTTGGAGGTCATCCTCAGAGTGCAAAAAATGGAAATGCAGTTATAGTAAAGAAAATCAATGACAACTGATTGAGGTTCCAGCTTCACTGCCAATGGGTCAGCCCATAACTGCTTTAATCCTTCCTGTGCCAGTAAAACCATACAAAATGTCTATCAGTGACCCATAAGAAAAACTGAAACAGACAGCAGTCTCAACAAATCCAACTGCTTGCACATGCATAACATGCATAAGATAGCCGTTACAGGTGCCAAGACAAACAGTCTGTCTCTAGACTGAAGCAGCAAGCACAACAAACCAGCAGGTGCACATACATTAGTGCATAAAGGACACCACCAATTCCATGGCAACCAGCCACCTGCCATTTGTTTTTTCTTCTGTTGAATATGCAATTTACAACACTCATCTCCAGGAGCACGGACAATAAACATCCCACATGAAATCACATGCCTGTGTGTTACTGGGGCCCTCAAAGAATAAGAGGCGGATGTACTGATCTACAGATATGGGTCCGTTGTATGGGGACAAAAAAGTGCATGGGCATTTACTGCGTGCTCTGCAGGCAGAACAGACCAGGAGGCCAGTGGTGCCTTCTGTATGACTACTAGTAGCATGACAATGGCAGTGATGGCAGCAACACGAAGCTTTCATGTGGCTAGCGTCGCAGGACTATTCTCACACGTGTGTTCTGCGTGATTCCATAAGCATGATCTGGCGGGTCGAGGAGGCCTTTGTTCGCAGACAGTGGATCGAGTCTTAGCAAAACTCCACTGCGCGTGGAGTTACCTTCATCTTTGTCCCAGGGTTATAAGGTGTTTTTGGCAATGAAAGAGCTGATAGATTAGCTGGCTCTGCTTTAGTTCCAGAAGGCTGGCCCATGGATCATGCAGACACTGTTAATGCCATTAGAGAGGTAGGACGATCAGAGGTTTTTGGGAGCAGCACATTAAACACCTTTGCCAAGAGTGCAAGAATTAGGAGTAAAGATCGGCACAGCCAGGCACAAGAAGTACACCAGACGCACAAGAAGTCTTGTTAACCAACATAGGACTGGGACTATCAACCACTGGACGCCGATGTATATGTTGAAGGGGGAACATTGAGTACCTATGGGCATGACTGGAGTGCTGTGATGATAACCCAAATCAAAACTAAAAACTCAAAAGAATAACAGTGCACTCTACCACGCATGTAAAAAAGGAGGTATTAAGGGTAGTGCTGGGCTCGGCTACATTATACTGTAAAACCAAAAGCCACAACAGCCACCCAACCATGGACAAGTAAAACAAGAGAAGTAAGCAATACCTAGCCAACAAAGACAGTGGAAAGCTCTTCCAATAGAAGAATGATGACACAGTGCAGGAAAAGCTGAAAGGAGTCTGGATCCTAGATGCATCTCCCTTCATCTAGAAAAATCTCTACAATTTGCACCTAGAATGTTACAGCTTTATACAATGTGTCAAGGGAAGCAGAGATAGCAAGAGAAATGAGATATTATAGGATTAGTATTTAAGGATATGCAAAACTAGAAAACAATTATCCCCACAGTGAAGGAGTGCTCCTGGTGTTACTGAGTAAAGCAAAGAGGGGCACTAATAGAATGGAAAGCACAGTTATAGAAAAAATAATAAGTGTCATTCAGATTAACCCCCAAAAGTGAAAATGTCAGTAATACATATTACACACCAATAAATGATAAAGATGAATTAGTTAAGGAGGAATTGTACACGCAACATCAAAATTTTAATAAGTCCTCAAAGAAAGGGCAATATACAAATTGTAATGGAGAACCTAAAAGTTAAGATAGGTTTAGACAATACTGGTAATGAAGAGATTGTGGGAACAGATGATAAGGTATAATGAAAATAGAGAATTAATTTTTTGCAGTAAACCAATACGCTGTTATCAGCAGAAGTGTTTTCCCCATATAGAAGAATACACAAGGCTACAGGGGAATTAATGGTCATTAAGAACCTTTTATCAGAGACATATACAATTCCTTTATCTTGTTCCCAGACCTATTACTTAATTAAGACTAACCAAAAATTGTACCTTGATTTCTTTATCCTGAGATATTCTACCTTATTTTGATTTCTAGGGTTGTAATATATTTTGCAACAGTTAGCTGAAGGGGTACACTGAAGCCTTCTGGGAAAAAGATATAGGAATTGTATAAGTCTCTGATAAAAGGGAATGAAAAGATAAGGTGTGGATGGCGTAGGAAGTCATTAAAACAAATCGAAGATAACAAAAAGCAAAAAGACAGACATAAACAATAGCAAAACTAGAACTGCTAGAGCTCATGCAAATACAGATAAGTTAATATAAAAGTAGGGGGGAAAAAGAATGGACAAAATGAAAATATTGAGACAATCTAGCACAAGAAGTAGAGACTGCATCAGCGAAAGGAAACCTTAGACCTTTATAGTGTCACAATGAAAGCAGTGGGGAAATACAGTCAACCAATTGGATAAATCAAAAATAAGTCAAGAAAATATTCCCACCAACACTAAAAATCAAATGGACAGATGGGCTGAACACTAAAGAACTTCTGAATAGACCAGCCCCAAAGTATCTCCAGATTTCCAGCCTTTCAAAATGAAACGATATAAACTGCAAGACATCTTAAGAGGAAATTAGGAAAGCTATCAATCTCCTGAAGATAGGAAAGCTGCAGGACCAGATGATACCCCAGAAAAGTTATTAAGGTCAATATAAACACATCTACAGAATGGCTACACAAATTATTCAGTAAAGTCTGGGAGATCAATGAAATACCATCAGACTGGAGAGAAGGATATCTTGTGAAACTGCCCCCCAAAGGTGGCCTGCAGGAGTGTGAAAACTATAGAGGATTATCTTGCTGTCAGCTGATGAAAAACATTAAATAGGATTATTTTGGAAAGATTAAAGAATGCCACTGATAATATGCTAAGGGATAAAGTCAGATTTTTGACCAAACAGATACTGTAATCTAGTTTTAGCATCATAGCAAACGGGTCACTCCATAGTTGCCCCGCTCCTGTACCAATGTAAACATACAGAATGTCAATCACTGTCCTTTGTGGATAAATTGACACAGACTGCCATCTCAGCATGTCCACAAGCATACACACACATTAAAAACATAAGGCAGCCATCAGAAGTGCTAACACAAACAGTCTGACATTAGAAATGAAGTTCATCATTGACTGAAGCAGCAGTTACAAACAAATCAAAAGTTGCCTACGTGATTAATTTTAATCACACAAGGCACTCCCAATCCAGTGGCAAAGGGCCACTCACCATTTTCTGAATCTAAAGTTCACACCATGCTGGTCACAGTCGAAAAACATTCCAAATTAAATTTGCAGCTCACGGTGTCGCATTATGCACTCAACTCCGTAGCTGGATGACAAAACTATATCCTTTCAGTCTATAAATAGAGGAAAATGCAACGGCCACCATCTGTCAGAAGCCAAAATTTGTCATGATAAAAAAACAGTGAACGTGCCTAAGCTCCATTCTGACCGGAAGCCTATACATAACAGTGCAAAGTATGGGACTAAACTCACTACTTTATATTGGATTCATGGACTTTGAAAAAAACATTTGACAGCACTGACAGGGAATTTCTCTGGAAACTGATGAAGCACTATGGGATACCACAGAAAATTATTTACTTAGTAAAGGCAACATATTAAGACATAAAATGACACATTCATCATGAGGGAAAATTTTGCAACAGCTACCACCATGAATGGAATTCAATGTGGAACCCAACAAAACAGCCTGGGGATGACATTTCACTCACTAAATCAGATGCAAGATATATTATTAAACACATTTTATGAGAGATCACAACAGTTAGGTCTAAAAATATAAAATAGAAAGAAAAACACATTGAGAATAAATTAAACAGCAATCCAAATTCACTTGGTCCATTGGATTAGTGGCGAGAGCAAGGTTCATTGTGTGAAAGGAGACAGCCTTGAGCAAGACAGACTAAGAGACCATAAGTCTTGTACTGCGCATAATTGCTACATTAGGACCACAACCATGATTTAAACAAAATTATGACAGAGGATAGAGCTAGTATAATAAAACAATAAAAATAAAGAATGTAACACAACAGAAAACACGCTAAACTGAGTTCGTTCCAGCACTCTTCTTCTACATTCTAAAACTGACAGAGACTTCTTTTTCGCATTCACTGGCTGTAAATTCCAGCAGAAAGTTCTGGCTGTTCCTTCATGTCTGGATCTTAGTCTTACATGACCTGTGTTTTGCATGCACATCTGTTTGACACTTTTGGATTTTTGTATGCAGACTGTTGGTTCCTCCCATGCAGATGCACTCTGACTTTGAAAAGCACCTCTAATTAGATGATCTGTATGGACACGCTTGGAGAGAGGCAGTGGATCTTCCACCACAATGTGACCCCGGAACTAACACAGGATGAGAGAGAAAGAAGGTCACTAGTTTAAAATATTAATAATAATGTTCAGTGCAGTCAAACCTTTTTTCGGATCCAAGTAAACAGGCTCCAGTTTGAGATATTTGTTAGTGACAGTCACAGACTTGATCTGCTTGCTGTTTCTTTGTGAAGAGTCCTTGGTCGCTTTAGCACCTGAAATGGTGTTAAGTCAGAAAATAAACATACCAAAGCCAATGTTAAACATTTATGGCACCAAATAACACTAATATTCAGCTGTGGAAAACAATAATCACCAAACATCTTTGGGCTGTTGTATAAGGCTCTGACCTGTTTTAGGATGGAAAATTTGGGAGCCCATATCAGTGAAACTAAATGTATCAGAGTATCTGTACATAACAATACAGCTAATGTTTTCCAGAACAGGGTTCATAGCCAAATTTACCAATCAGCTTCCAGGCTCTTCAAGGTCATTTTCAAGGTATCCTTAGTTTTTTTCAAGGTTGTCTTGGAATAATACTGAAACAAGGTATTTTTGCCTTGTTTAAGGATATACTGACCACACAAGGTACATTCATTTGTGTGTATTTATGTGGGTTTTCCAGCACAGATAGTATTTTTACAATTTCTTTCTAGAGTTGGTAGCAGAGTGAGCAAATTTCAGTCCTATCTGTTCTAGACCTAGTACCTGAAGGAGAAAGAAAGAGAGAGAGTCATACAGAGAGGGAAGAAGCCAGATTTGAGGTAGAGTAGAAGAGACAGTGTGAAAGATTCAGTGTAGACAGATTGGGTAAAGGAATAGGTAGGAAGAGATGGACAGATAAAAAAAAATGACAAAGAGGGAGGGATTGAGACATGATGAAGAAGAGTGGGAGAGTGAGAGCGAAAGAAAAGAGGGAGACAAATACAGAAAAAGAGACATGTAGATACAGAGATGGGCAGATGAAAATAGGAGGAAGAAGGGAAAGAAACAGAGATTTGGAAGGAGGAAAAATATGACAAAAAAGAGCTGGGGTGAGGGCAACAGAGGGAGAGTGAAGGGACAGGAAGAGAGGGAGATGCAGACAGAAAGGCAGAAGGCAGAGGGATAGTATAAAGAGGAAAAAATACAAAGGGATAGAACCGAAGAGAAAGAATAAATGCAGAGCTAGAGAATGGGAGGGAGGTATAGAAAAAAGGAAGTGATGGAAAGAGGCAAAAACACATAAAGCAAAAGGGAGAGAGAGAGAGAGAGAGAGAGAGAGAGGGAGGAAGTCAGTGACAAAGAAAGATAGAGGGGCGGGTAGGGAGACAAGACAGAGAGTAAAAATATGCCAGAATTACTAACAAAAACCTAGCCAGCCAAATGTTGAAACCCCAACCACAACACAATTTCATGTGTTTTGGACACATCCACTAGGAAAAGACAGTTATGGGGAAGCAAAGCAAATTTAGAAAAATCGAGAGGAAAAAAGCGGGGGGGGGGGGGGGGGGGTTGAGAGAGGAGAGCTTAAGTTAAAATAGAGAAAATGAAAGAGGGTGAAGAGGACAAAGAAGAGAGGGGGCAGGAGGAAGAGCACGAGAGAACGGAGTGAGGAAAGGAAAAGAGGAAGGATGGAGAGAGAAAGGAGAAGAGATGGGTAGAGGAGTGAAAGATCAAAGGAAGAGAAGGGATGAGAGAAGGATGATATAGTGGGGGGCGGGGTGTTAAGAACACATCAATCAGCAAGTCCTTTATAGAACGCTGCTCTCCTCAGGGCAAACCTGAAAGTATCCCTTTCCCTAGCCAAGCTTTCCAACAATACACGCACTTTGAGAACAATGAGCGCCAAAAAACAGAATTTGGAAATCTAAGTGACATCACTTTTCCAGTCCTCACAGTCTCCTAATGTGAAAGCGGTTGTGGTCCATAAACAACAGCGCTGACCCCCTTCCCCCTCCTGCCCCATCTTTGTCTGTCCACCTGAGTTCCATTTCTTACACTGTCTCAAGACTGGTGGACCTGGGAGCCAAGGTCAGTTCTGGAAAAAAAGGAAAAATTCTGGCCCATCAGGACCCCAACCCCCGACTTTCCCATAGTCACACTATTGGCAAATAGTTCAGGATAACCGTGGATACCAGTTTCACTTCTGATTCTTTCATTACAAAAATGGGCCGGGAGGGGGGGGGGGGGGGGGGGGAGAGGGAGATGGTTATGAAATTTGGTGAAGGGTGTTGTGGAAAGGGGGAAACAGAGGAGGTGAGGACAGCGAGAGAGAGAGAGAGAATAAAGATTAAGGAAAGAAAGTCGGGAGAAAAAGAACGGAAAGGGGAAAGAAAAAAAAAGATACAAAAGGAGAAGAAGAGAAGATCGATCAATTGCCCTCCCCCCTCAACGACCACAAACATTTACAACGAATGTAGCCACACACACACACACAAAAAAGCCTAACTTAGGCGCATCTACCTATTGCTGAAAACGACATCAATGCATGCTGTACATTTACCAGAAAAGATCAATAAACAAAGAAAAAAATCTGAGAGGAAAGGGAGGGGTGGGGGGGGGGGGGAACTGGGAAACAGGAAAGGAGAGGGTAAAAGGAAAGGCAGAGAGAAAGAGAAGAAAATGAAGACTAGAGGAGAGAGAGAAAGAGAAAGCAGGAGACTGGAAGGAGTGGGCAAGAGGTAGAAGAGTGAAAGAGGGAAGGAGAGAGAGAGGTGAGAGAAAAGAAGAGGGAAGCCAAACATCAAGTCTGTCTCTATATAAACAGCTAAAGTCGGACGTGCCAAACACACTGCAAAGATAAAACATAAATAGAACTGGGAAATCCAGCTGACATCACTTTGCTAGCCCCACCATCTCCCAGTGTATTCATGGCTTCTAGAAACAAAGGCACACAAGGTGCTGCTTCCTCCCGCCCCATGCCATACAGCTGCTGTCTGCATGTATCCATGGGCTGCAACAAAGCTCGTCCTTTCCTAGCCCTTAACAAGCCATTTCAGTTGAAAATGGCCGATAATCAACTGCCCAAACACTGCAAACGACCTTAAATATCCAAAATAAAGGTAGCCAAAAATAGCCAAAATTAATAGCCAAATGACCCAAAATTGCCAAATAACCAAAAATCACAGGGTTTCCACGATAGTTCGTTTTACTTCAATTCTACCATTGCCGTGGTCAAAATTCTAGGTTTACCCAGGTCAGTATGTCATTTCCAAGGTCCGATTCCTGGTTCAAGGTCAAGGTCAAAATTTTCTGGAAATTCAAGGTCGCTACAAACCCTGCCAGAAGCAAGTACAAACACAGAAACCAAAACTATTCTCAGAAGCACCACATACCTGGCTTTTCCTCCACTTCCAAAAACAAATGTGAACCAAGGGTGTCTGTGAACTGTCCGGTGAACAAATGCCCATTAATCTTGACTAGTGGCTTCTCAGTTGACAGTCCCTGCAAATACAAAGTTTCATTTAAAAACATTTTAGGACAATTTACTTAGTTCAGCAATTACTTTCAAAATAGACAACAACTATTACTGTCATTACTGCCTGCATTAGCACTGTTACCTGCAAAAGCTGGAGATCTGTGACAGATACAAAAATATGACAATATTTATGGAAACGTTGAGTAATATCAAGACGATAAACTATGCTAACAGGAGTTTAAAATTTTCCAGGGGTTCCAAATACATTACAAACAGAACAAATGACAATGAATAAAGGTTAAATTATTATTAAAGCTACCCAAACCCCAATCTAGCTAAAAAAATACTACCTCACAACCCTCATATTTTGATCTCAGCATTAATTTTTCAAAGAGAGTGCTAAAATGTTACAGAGAACCTGTTCTGCTGTATGGCAATAAATCTCAGAATGTCACTGAACAAATTAAGAAGAATTGGGAAGCAACATAAATGTGACAAATATTACGAACACCTTGGACGGCCAAAGTAATAACAACAATTGTTTGAAAGAAGTTAATGAAAGTAGATCTTTGGCCACATAATGAGAAGAGAGGCTTTGGAAAACATCGTGACAACTGGAAAGATCAGTGGAAAGAGGGGTGGAGGCAGACCAAGAGAGATGATGCTGGATGGCCTGAAATGATGGCATCGAGTGATATCATCAAGAGAGCTGTTCCAGGTAACCAGTGATCGTGATCTGTGGAAATGCATGAGCGCCTACACCACTTGGCAGGGCAAATGATAATGACAATGAATAATTTTCCATTATCTGAAATCCTGGATTGTATCATACAGTGCTGAAAATATACATCATTCCCAGGCTGTCTTTTTTAAAGGGTAATGTGACAGCTATGAACAAAGAGATATGTTCCTAGTGGAGATTTCATAGAACAAGTCTGATTTTCTCTGTGTACTTTGCAAAGGCTAAGACATAAAAAGGCTCTCAGTGCTAGCCGCACAAAATTATGTGGATCAACCCTGTTCATCTGATGGAAGCTGTGATGATGACTGACTGTATTCAGAATTTTTATGTGATTCCCATATTAACATGTTGCCTGTTGAGGTGGCGTAAGGACACATTATAAACTCCACATGAGCTTTAGTATAATCAATCTGAAAATCAGAGGGAACAAAGCTCCCAAGGTTGGTGTCAAGTCAATATAGAAGCTATTTCTCTTTCCCGGCTAAAGTGACTATTTAATCTAATTATAGAGCTGGTACAATGTCTGAAACTGTCTGGCTTTAAAAAAAAATCAGAAGTAAATGCTACTCTTAGAAGGTAAAAAAAAAAACTGAAATTATTTCATATGAAAGTACATTATGCACAAAAAACAACCATTAAATACAACATAGCATCTAGGACATTTTAATAAGGAAGCTGAAACAGACATAATTTGAAAACTATTTGATACATACACGCAAGCATGCACACACATGGTTACCAAGTAAAAAATTACAAGTTTCAGATCAGGTCATTATTTTTCTCCTACTTTTGCAATTTTGTGTAATTATTTAGATATTTATTTCTCAGTCTTCTTGCTTTTTCCACACCCAATTTGTGTCATTAAATAATAGTTGCTAATATCATTATGTTAATAATGACAGCATAAAATAATATTTGCAAATTATAAATTGTACTTTGGCATTCCACTCCTGTGTGCGTTCCGGGGCCCTTTTTAGGGTGGGGAGATGAATAGACCCCCCACACCCCTCTCTTTCCTAAACGAGCATGTCATAAAAAGTGACTAATCAGGGGTGTTTCCTTCTAAGTCGGAGTGCATCTGCCTCAGTGACAGGAAGCCAACTGTCTGCATATAAATAATTCAGATCTGTCAAACAGATGTCAAAGCAAAACTCAAGTTCTTGAACAAGAGCAAAGTCCAGAAGTGGACAAACAGCCAGAACTTTCCACCAGAGTTTACAGCCCGTGAATGCCAAAAAGAAGAATGTTTGAAACAACAAATGATTGTTTTATAAAAGCCACATCAGGACAAGACAGACAGTATTTTAAAATCTCGTTATGAGTTGAGGAGGCTTGGAGTATACTGTGACAATGAGGAAGACTCAAGGTTTCACAGAGTGGTCAACAGAGGAAGAAAATACTAGCTGACAGAGAGTAGAGAGGCACACTTGACCATGGCAGACAGCATTACAATACTGATAATAGTTGCTGAGAAAGAATGTGACTGCTTGGCAAACAAACAAGTGATGACTATGAATATTTTATTGTTAAACTGTATAAATACTACACAAGTTTTACCAGAATCTGAAAGTATGAGTCTCCCTGTCTTCTGCCATCAGCATGACCACCACTTGGCAATTCCATCATCATCGTGACTTCCTGTTGCAACAAAACAGATCACGTAGAAACTATATGTGGATATCAATCAAATATAATGCTGGCAATAGTGAAATACATGGAAGGTTCATGTTTACTTTAAAAAAAACCACTAGCTGGAACTTATAATAGCAATTCAATTTTTCAATTCAATTTAATAATTAGAAAACCCAAAGGAAAAATTAATTAATTATGGCATGTCTGATTTTGATATTGACATTTCTGAATCCACACCGTGTCTATGATGATGCTCATGTATTGCATTATTTTGTGTATGATCTGTGAGTGTGAGTGAGACAGGATAACTAGTTAGTCATCGTTATCAGGTGCCTTGTCGACTGGCGTGGGCGATTATGCCTCTCCATAATCTGCAATCTCCTGCAGCATGTATCAGTTCGTGTGCCGACACACCTCCATGCCATGCAACAAGACTGTCGAGCATCTTCTTTCGTTGTCTTCCTCTATCTCTCCTTCCACATATCTTTCCAGTGGTCACAACCTCTCATAACATGGCCGAAAAATTATGACTGTCTCCTTCTGATGTCTGTGATAAGTTGTCTTCGGGCTCCTACCTCTTTCAAAACCTCTTGGTTGCTCTTTTTGGCTGTCCAAGGTATTCTAAGCATTCTTCTGTAAAACCACATCTCCGAGGCCTCCAGAAATTGTTTGGCCTGCCTACCGATTGTCCAGGATTCACAGCCACATGTTAAAACTGGATGTATGTAGCAAGCAAGAATTCTTTTTCTAACTCTCAATGACAAGGATATATTGCACAAGATGTTTTTCATTTTATAAAATGCAGTTTTTGCCTGTCCTATTCTGTTTCTTATTTCAGTTATGCATCTTCCATCTGATGTTATCCATGTGCCCAGATACCTAAATTTCTGTACTTGTCCTAAAATAACATTATCAACTTTTATTACACACTTAGGAATAATTCGTTTCTTTGATACCACCATTACTTCTGTCTTCCCATTATTCAAACTGAGGCCCATTCTTCCACTTTCTAACACCATATTGTTTATCATTTCCTGTAGTTCTTTCTGACTTGTTGCTATCAAGACTGTGTCATCAGCATAACTAGTTAGTACTATGTAATAAATCTAAACCATTTTTTTTAATCAATAAAATTCAGCTATATATGATAATATTCATTTTTCTTTTTCTTTTATTGGATTTGAATAGAATTATTAGCATTAAAATATTAAGGTGAAATCTGCTATTAACTCTTTGTGTCCCTGTCACGATACGATCACAGTGGTTCCAGAAGTTAGTACTTGTAATAAGTTCTTCTGGTTCTAAAGAGACAGAATTATATTTACTCTGCGCTTTATCCTAATATTGCTTTAAACCGCACAGATTTAAATTGTTACCAGTCCTTCTTCGAGACAAGCCACTGCGCTTTGTTTAAAATTACCCAACACTACGTAATACAGCCCGCTGGTTCAGACTAGGGATGTTAGATTGCATTCTCAGTAAGAAGGTAAGAGAAAATATTAATTTTAATCTTGTATACTTAGGTTAGGGAGTTAAGCTTAGTCTATACTACCTTTTCCTAATTTGTCTGCACCATTCTGCTTGAATGTTCTGTCGTGAGTATTCAGTATCTCACGTTAGGGAACGGCTAAAAATATTCCTATTTCCGTATGTTTGTGTCCCATGTTTTTCCGTGGGTGTACAGTTTCACGGGACTGAAGAAATATTCAGGACAGGTGCCCCCCCTATAAAGGTTGGAGTTTTCAGCACATAAATGCGCCCCGTGGTCATTAAATCAATGTCA